TTTTATTAGATAAAAAACATTAAGTTTATTAAAAATAAATGGAGGGAGTACTAATTTTCAAAAAGAAAGATTTTTTTTAATAAAAAAAATATAATATAGTCCAAATTATACTAAACTACACTACAATAACAATTGAATGAAAGTCAAATCTCTCAATATTAAGACATTTCTCTCATCTAATAGTTTTTATTTTACAATTCAATATAATCTAAATTATGAAACATATTTTCAGAATAAATAAGTGACCCACTCTCATAGGTAAGGGAGAGAGGGTTATGAGTATTGTAGTCTTCACTTCAAGAAAAATATAAATTATTGTTGAACCATTAGCTCAAAATATTAAAAATGAGATAATTAAATTCATAAACGGAGGAGTGCTCTAATGCTTTCAGGCTTCAGGAGCTAAGCTAAGCTAAGTGAAGCTTGGTTGTTGGTGTGTTTATGTTTGTTTGACACATGAGTTTTGATTCATGGAGTTGGTTATCTTTTCCCTCGTTAAATGACAAATTATTTGATTATATGTACTTTCTTTATTTTAAAATAATTTTTTTCATATAATTTATAAATAAATTATGTGTTTGTTTATAATACTTTTAAAAAATAAAAATATAAAAAATGTTTTAGTTGTAAGGTTGATAATTAAAGTTAAGTTATAATGATAAGGAAAAATTCAAAAAATATTTATATATTTTAAAAATAAAAAAAATAATTATTATTTTTAAATAAAGAAAGTATCTTATTCATTCTAATAGAGTAGGTTATAAAATCCATTTGCTTTTCCTTAGAAACTACAGCCAAGTTTGGAGTAAATATTTCTTGTTGGTTTAAAAAGATGTTAAATGAGATAAACATGATGGACATTAAAGGGCTAGTAGTTTTTCATAGCCTTGTTAAACAAATTTGTCCTTCAATTATGTTTATAAAATTTAATTGTCATATGAAGAAGAAGCCTGTCTTATCTGGGAGGGACGGAAAATGCCAACCTAAATCATGGAGATATGCGAATCCAACAACCAATGATTTAAAAATTAGATTCATTAACAACCCAAAACTTTAACAAAAAAAAAAAATGCATCATTATTTCCAACATTTATCAATAATCAAAGAAATGATAGTGCTAATGGACAACCAGTTCCACTCCATTGTTCGCTATATTGAGATTGACATTCAGCACAAATAAAAAACTGAAAATGCATCCATCATCAAGAATCCATAGAAATGAGGTTGTGGTTGTGTGCAAATCAGAGCTCCCATTGCACTGAGTGTGGCCAAAACCAGAGGATGAAGCCTACAAGAAGTCATTTTCTTACTTTCTTTTTGGCCACAACAAAGAAGTCATTTTCTTGTTTTCGATCAGAACGACCCAAATCGAATTCTTCAATGAAGACAGCTCCTAAAAACTTTGGAACAAACTCCTAAGGATCCCCCACCAGCTGTTTAAGTCCTTTTTGGCTTCCTTTTTAATCCCAATTTAGAGGAGGAAAAAACATAATAAAGAAAGCAGAGTTCCCCTGTTTCCTCTGCTTATGCGTTGACCTTTCTCCACACTCTTCGTTACAAGGTCTTGGTTATGGCTCGTAGAAATGGTAATCAACGGAATGCAGTCATTGACATAGGGAAGGCAGTGAATTTCACCGGCGGTCTCGAGTTCTCTGGCCTTACCTACACTGTTGTAGAGAAGAAGAAGCTTGAAGGGAAGTGGTTGAACGAAGAGGTTGACTTGTTGCATAAGATTACTGGGTACACTCCTAAATGCTGCATCACTGCTGTCATCGGGCCTAGCGGGCCGGAAAATCGACTTTTTTGGATGGTTTGGCTGGGCGTATTGCGAGCGGGAGTCTGAAGGGGAGGATTTCCTTTGATGGGATGCAAATGAGTGGAAGCTTGATTAAAAGGACTTCTGCTTATATAATGCAAGACAATAGGTTGTTTCCGACAATCACTGTCAATGAAACGTTGATGTTTGCCGCTGATTTTCGACTCGGACCGATTAAAATGAGTGAGAAGAAGCAGCGTGTAGAGAAGTTGATTGAACAGCTCGGTCTTTCGGTGAGTGGAATTGGTTTTGGAAAGCATAATTTCGTATGAACTTTAGTCATAGAAAGTTGATGGAATTAATACTTTCATTACAATCTGCGAGGAACACCCATATAGGTGATGAAGGAACAAGAGGTGTCTCAGGAGGTGAACGCGGCCGGGTTTCAATAGATGTTAACGTAATTCATGGACCACCGCTACTGTTTCTGGATGAGCCAACTTCAGGTCTAGACTCCACCAGTGCTCATAGCGTCATAGAGAAAGTGCATGACATTGCACGCTCCTGTAGGACCGTAATCCTTACCATTCACCAGCCGTCGTCCCGAATCCAGCTACTTTTAGATCACCTAATCATCCTAGCTCGAGGTCAGCTCATGTATCAGGGATCACCGAAGGATGTGGCTCTCAATTTGAACCGAATGGGGTGAAAAGTCCCTAAGGGCGAACATTCCATAGAGTACTTAATTGATGAGATACAAGGGTATGATCAATCTGAGCTAGGAGTTGAGGTGCTGGCTCAATTTGCACGCACTGGCATGAAGCCACCATCACTCCCTAATGAGGAGATTTCAGTTTCAGAGGTGGATCCTACACCAGCACCGCCTAGTAGCCGCCGCTACAGGAGAGAAGTACAGGGTGAACAAGGGAAAACCGGAGGGCGCCTTGCTTTGCCGACAATTGCTAATTCGGGAAGTGAGTTTGATCATAGTGTGAGAAGTCCTTACAACAACTCAATGTCATGGAGTGCTAGCTATGGTGAAGTGCTGCACCAACTCAGATTCACCCCTTCTAGGCAACGTACCGATCGTAAAACACCAAATTCAATGGGGTAAAATTGTTTGAACTAAAAGTTTAAACTGTTAGATAAAGATTTGAGAATAGTTTTTATTGACTAACCTATAATAAATGTTTAATTATGCAGCTTGACGTTAGATTACTACAAAAACTCTAGCAAAATCCCCTCGGGGACACCTCTGCCTCACATCAGTGACTACACCGTGAATGAAGACGACCATATGACCCCTCCTCCTGGGGCAACAAACACCAAGAACCTGCAACTTGGCGCTAAATTCGCCAACTCCTTTCTCTGGGAAACTTGGATTCTAATGTGCCGCAACTTCAAGAACGTTCGTCGAAACCCTGAACTTTTTCTCTCCAGACTAATGGTACTCACAACTATGGGTTCATGATGGCCACAATGTTCATGAATCCTAAGAAGGATGCCCAACCAAGGCATCCCCAATCGCCTCAGCTTCTTCATCTTCACTGTCTGTCTTTTCTTCTTCTCTTCGAATGATACCGTCCCCGCTTTCATTCAAGAGCGCTTCATTTTTGTCCATGAAACTTCCCATAATGCTTACCGAGCCTCTGCCTACAGCATTGCCGGCCTCATCACATACCTACCCTTTCTTCTTCTCCAATCAGCTGTATATGCTGCTATTGTTTGGAAAGGCTTGAAACTCCGTGGAACCTTCTATTATTTCTTGCTTGTGCTCTACGTTTCCCCCCTTTCGACAAACTCTTTTGTTGTGTTTGTGAGCTCGGTAGTACCAAACTGCATTCTAGGTTATGCTGCTGTCATTGCCTTCACTGCTCTGTTCTTCCTGTTCTGTGGCTACTTCTTGAACAGCTATGATATTCTGGTGTGGTGGAAATGGATGAACAAGTTTTCCACCATGACATATCCATACGAAGGGCTTCTGATGAACTAGTATCAGACCGAGATCGTCTTTGGAAAAGATCTTAATGGGGGGAATGTGACTGGGACTCAAATCTTGAATTCATTGCATGTCAGTGCCGATTAATTCAAAAAGTGGGAAAATGTACTTATAATGCTAGGTTGGGCTGCTTTCTACAGGATTTGTTTTTATCTAATTCTTCGATTCGCATTGAAGAACCAGAGATCATAGCAAAATCATAGAGGAAAATGATGCTGCTTGGCTGAAATCTGCCTTCTTTCTTCTTCTTTTTTCATGCTAATTTAAGTGCTGCTGAATTTGCTTAAAATCATAATACAATGCAGGTTTAGACTGAAATTTGTTTTTGGTGTTTGAGTACTGGTTTTAGCTACTAATTATAAGTTCTCAATCTAGAGTTAAGATAAGGATTTTAAATTTTTACAATTTCTAATCGGATAACTTAACATGTTGATGCCAATGACCTTAGTGGTTATCTCATTTATGTGGATTTAAAAGATTCTTAATTGTACGTAGCTAAGATATGTTGTAGTCTTGTGGGATAGGAGAGGTTGCCTCTTATTATGCAGTAATGATATAATTATAATATTATATAAAATTATAAGTTTATAATTTTTTATTATTAAATATATAAAAATATATAATATCACATTTGATTCTTTAAAAAAAAAAAAAACTAATTATGTAATGATACATCATAATTATAAACTTATAATACTAGTGTTGTAACCATATCATTTTCGCTAATTATGTAATTTAAGATACAAAATTTACCATATTTGATACACCCAAAGAAAAAATAAATTATTTGGGATAATTCAACAATAATATGTTGAAATGAATAAAAAAATGAAAATTTCAAATGAAGGTGGCTAAAGAATATAAGCT